AAGGTCATGATTAATGAAGAGATAGCTTGTATTGGATAGAACTAAGGTCATGTTTCATGAAGAGATAGCTTGTATTGGATAGAACTAAGGTCATGTTTCATGAAGAGATAGCTTTTATTGGATAGAACTAAGGTCATGTTTCATGAAGAGATAGCTTTTATTGGATAGAACTAAGGTCATGTTTCATGAAGAGATAGCTTTTACTGGATAGAACTAAGGTCATGTTTCATGAAGAGATAGCTTATATTGGAAAGAACTAAGGTCATGTTTCATGAAGAGATAGCTTTTATTGGATAGAACTAAGGTCATGTTTGATGAAGAGATAGCTTTTATTGGATAGAACTAAGGTCATGTTTAATGAAGAGATAGATTTTATTATATAGAACTAAGGTCATGTTTCACGAAGAGATAGCTTATATTGGATAGAACTAAGGTTATGTTTGATGAAGAGATAGCTTTTATTGGATAGAACTAAGGTCATGTTTCATGAAGAGATAGCTTTTATTGGATAGGACTAAGGTCATGTTTGATGAAGAGATAGCTTTTATTGGATAGAACTAAGGTCATGTTTGATGAAGAGATAGCTTATATTGGATAGAACTAAGGTCATGTTTGATGAAGAAATAGCTTTTATTGGATAGAACTAAGGTCATGTTTGATGAAGAGATAGCTTTTACTGGATAGAACTAAGGTCATGTTTCATGAAGAGATAGCTTATATTGGATAGAGCTAAGGTCATGTTTGATGAAGAGATAGCTTTTATTATTAAACTCCTTTATTCAACTCCCAGCTGTATTCCATTTGATTTTATAATCTAGAAATCCTGTTTTATTTTCTCAGAGAGGTGCAGCAATTGTTATATGGGTTTGTGTTATAAACACATTTAAAAAATTAAAATATAACCAATTCAAGTTAATAGAGCTACTGGCCAGGTATATCTGACCTTCAATATAGTTCATTGTGGAAAAGTATTTAATTAGAAATATGTTTTTAAGTGACTAACTGTCCCTCAGCCATCACGACTCTACTTTTGGTCGTAAATTCAAATAACATACTGAAAAATGAACGAACTTTTGATTAGTATATCACTAAACTGTTTTTCTGTTGTTTATACTACCATAAGCTGATAATAAAACAACTTAAAGAACTATATTTTTATTTATTAGAGCATGCCTACTGATGCAGAAATGGCAGATTTCTATGAAGTAGCAGTGTCGGTAAGAACAGCTTTACATAAAAAATGAACTTATATTAGTAAATAATCTGAATATTTGGTGCATGTCAAGTATTTTGTATGTTCTGTAAAAGTTTATATTATTGATTTTTGTTTTGTATTGGTAGTGGGTGTTTTTCTTTACTGTAGATGTTGGCTGACGCAGGTTTTAGTAGGTACGAGGTGTCCAATTTTGCCAGAAATGTAAGTTTTGAATGTTATTCTTATGAAACTACCATCCAAAAATTTGATTTAATGAAGTAATAAATATTAAACATCAAGTTTTATTACTTAAAATGTAGAATTATTATATTAACCTGACCTTTAACCTTCACCAGTACATAATGTGGATGTTAGGAACTAGCAGACATGGAGCCCAGTGTTATTCCTGTATCCTGTTTTCTTACATTATAACCTTCACCAGTACATAATGTGGATGTTAGGAACTAACAGACTTGGAGCCCAGTGTTATTCCTGTATCCTGTTTTCTTACATTAATTATTACTTTTAATTTTAAGATGTGTGCTAAGAAACCGTACAAAACTGGTTTATTTTTAAGAAACAAACAGAATTTTTTTGTGATCTTTGGTGTAATACTCATATTGACCTATTTTAGGTAAACTTACATAGAGAACAAGGTTTTAACACTTTCTACGTATATCCTGAATTTCCAACTTGGATATCACCTGAAGGATGATAATGTATGATTTGTAAACTAGGTTTAAGTTTCATGTTAACCATATTATGTTTCACGTTATCTAGGTGTTTAGTATTCTATACTATACATCTTCTAGGTGCTTAATGTTTTATGTGCTTCACATCATGTAGATGTACAATGTTTTACATTTTCTAATTCTAGGGAGCAGAAAGTACTCACAACAACAGTTACTGGAATGGAACACAATATATTGGTATTGGTCCAGGTATAGTTACTTTTTCAGTTACAGTAAGCAGACATTGGTGTTACGTAACATTGAGTAACTTTATGGTGGTGGACAATCTACGTGGTAAAACACGTGTAACCTGTAATATCGTATTAAAAACTTAAGTCTAATAATTAATTGTTTGAATAGTGATTGGCTTCTTTCTGGCCATGATTTTAAAGAATAATGTGGAGATTTTGTTTTTTATTTTCTTGTGAGTATGAATATTTTCTTGAGTGTCCACAGCAAGCTTTAAAACTTCATTAAGGTTGAATCTATATGACAAGATTTAGAACTTCATTGAGGTTAAATTCATATGGCAAGCTTTAGAACTTCATTGAGGTTAAATCCATATGACAAGCTTTAGAACTTCATTGAGGTTAAATCCATATGACAAGCTTTAAAACTTCATTAAGGTTAAATCTATATGACAAACTTTAGAACTTCATTGAGGTTAACTCCATATGACAAGCTTTAGAACTTCATTGAGATTAAATCCATATGACAAGCTTTAAAACTTCATTAAGGTTAAATTCATATGACAAGCTTTAAAACTTCATTAAGGTTAAATCTATATGACAAGCTTTAAAACTTCATTGAGGTTAAATCCATATGACAAGCTTTAGAACTTCATTGAGGTTAAATCCATATGACAAGCTTTAGAACTTCATTGAGGTTAAATCCATATGACAAGCTTTAGAACTTCATTGAGGTTAAATCCATATGACAAGCTTTAGAACTTCATTGAGGTTAAATCCATATGACAAGCTTTAAAACTTCATTAAGGTTAAATCTATATGACAAACTTTAGAACTTCATTGAGGTTAAATCCATATGACAAGCTTTAGAACTTCATTAAGGTTAAATTTATATGACAAGCTTTAGAACTTCATTGAGGTTAAATTCATATGACAAGCTTTAGAACTTCATTGAGGTTAAATTTATATGACAAGCTTAAGAACTTCATTGAGGTTAAATTTATATGGCAATCTTTAGAATTTCATGTAGGCTTAGTGTCTTCAGGAAGATTGAAAACTTCATGGAGGTTGAGTATCCACAGCAAACTTTAAAATTTTAAGGAAGTTAAGAATCCACAGCAAGCTTTCAAACTTCATGAGGTTAAGTGCCTTCAGTAGGCATTTGTAGAGTATAAGTGTCCACAAAAATCTTTAAAACTTCATGGAGGTTAAGTGCCTTCAGCAAGCTTTTGAACTTCATGAAGGCTAAGTGCCTTCAGTAAGCTTTTGAACTTCATGGAGGCTAAGTACCTTCAGTAAGTTTAGAAATTCATGGAGGCTAAGTGCCTTCAGCAAGCTTTTGAACTTCATGGAGGCTAAGTGCCTTCAGTAAGCTTTTGAACTTCATGGAGGCTAAGTGCCTTCAGTAAGCTTTTGAACTTCATGGAGGCTAAGTACCTTCAGTAAGTTTAGAAATTCATGTAGGCTTAGTGTCTTCAGGAAGATTGAAAACTTCATGGAGGTTGAGTATCCACAGCAAACTTTAAAACTTCATAGGAGTTAAGCAAACTTTAGAACTTTAAGGAAGTTAAGAATCCACAGCAAGTTTTAAAACTTCATGAAGGTTAAGTGTATTCAGCAAGCTTTAAAACGTCATGAAGGTTAAGTGTATTCAGCAAGCTTTAAAACGTTATTGAGGTTAAATGTCTTTAGTAAGCTTTAAGACTTCATGGAGGTTAAATTTCTACAATAAGCTTGAAAACTTTATGGAGGCTTACTGTTTTCAGCAAGTTGTAGAACTTTATGTAGGATAAGTGTCCACAGCAACCTTTAAAACTTCATGGGAGTTAAGCAAACTTTAAAATTTTAAGGAGGTTAAGAATTCACAGCAAGCTTTGAAACTTCATGAGGATAAGTGCCTTCAGTAGAAGTTTATGGAGGATAAGTGTCCACAGCAACCTTTAAAACTTCATGGGAGTTAAGCAAACTTTAAAATTTTAAGGAGGTTAAGAATTCACAGAATGCTTTAAAACTTCATGAGGATAAGTGCCTTCAGTAGAAGTTTATGGAGGATAAGTGTCCACAGCAACCTTTAAAACTTCATGAGAGTTAAGCAAACTTTAAAATTTTAAGGAGGTTAAGAATTCACAGCAAGCTTTGAAGCTTCATGAGGATAAGTGCCTTCAGTTGAACTTTATGGAGGATAAGTGTCCACAGCAACCTTTAGAACTTCATGAGAGTTAAATATATTTGCTGTTTGTTCAGGGTTTTCACATTACCCCAAAGATATTAGCAGTTAGTATCTCTACAGGTGAGAAGCGTAGTTTGATTAGAGTTATTGTTGACAAGTTTGACCCTGTGAAAGAGACCTTAGCAATTAGTATCTCTGCAAATGAGATTTGTAATTCATTTAGTCAATGACCTTATAAAACCAATTTTTCTTTTTAATCGGACCTTCAATGTTTACTTTACAGCTTCTGCAGGTGTGTTCCAGTAAAAAAAACAAACCATGAGTGACGATACAAAGCTTCAGTTGGTTTAAATGATAAATTATAGTCAATTTTATGACATGCTTTTGACATTGTGCATTGTAAAGTTTCTTGTTGAAATAGTTATACTGTTGAAAGTATAACTTGTTATCTGTTGTAAATATGTGACATGGTTAACTTAATTAGAGTTGTTTTGACGATGTGGAAGACAGTTGTTTGGTGTGTTTTAATGATGATATCTTGATCAGACTACTTGGTAACTATGGATATAAAAGCCTTGGTTTACGTGCAAAAATAGTAAATATTAATAACTAATAAATATATAATAAAACTTTGTCTTATATGAAACAAACTTCTTTATTATAGCATCTGCTTTCCAATGTGAATATATCAGCGTCTGCTTTCCAATGTGAATATATCAGCGTCTGCTTTCCAATGTGAATATATCAGCGTCTGCTTTCCAATGTGAATATATTAGCGTCTGCTTTCCAATGTGAATATATCAGTGTTTGCTTTCCAATGTGAATATATCAGCGTCTGCTTTCCAATGTGAATATATCAGCGTCTGCTTTCCAATGTGAATATATCAGCGTCTGCTTTCCAATGTGAATATATTACCGTCTGCTTTCCAATGGGAATATATCAGTGTCTGCTTTCCAATGTGAATATATCAGCGTCTGCTTTCCAATGTGAATATATCAGCGTCTGCTTTCCAATGTGAATATATCAGCATCTGCTTTCCAATGTTTCACATTTGAAACATGTTTTACTCAAATTTATTTTCAATGTAATAGTTAAATAAGCCAGCTTTTCAGGCTTCTATTTAAAGTAAAGCATTTGTAGGATTATTATCAGTTTACAAATATATTTGTGAGGGTCTGTCTGGACCGGACAAATATCATTACCTCCACCACTTCAGTGGCAGAGGTTATGTTTTTATCCCTGTGTGTGTGTTTGTCAGCAAGATATCTCAAAAATGGCTGAATGAATTTGGACAAAAATAGCTATACGTTTGGACTATGACCCAGCTTAGAAGTGATTAGTTTTTGGAGGGTCAAGGTTACGAAAATAAAAAAAATCTTTAGCTGTTAACATGGGGGCAGATTTTTCACACTATCTTTGCTCTATAACTACATGGGGGCAGATTTTTCACACTATCTTTGCTCTATAACTACATGGGGGCAGATTTTTCACACTATCTTTGCTCTATAACTACATGAGGGCAGATTTTTCACACTATCTTTGCTCTATAACTACATGGGAGCAGATTTTTCACACTATCTTTGCTCTATAACTACATGGAGGCAGACTTTTCACACTATCTTTGCTCTATAACTACATGGGGGCAGATTTTTCACATTATCTTTGCTCTATAACTACATGGGGACAGATTCTTCACACTATATTTGCTCAGTCAAAAATGACCAGATTTTCATGAAACGTGGTGGACATATGTAGAATATTATCCTGCCAAAGATGTTAGCTAGGCCGTGTATTTTGTTTTATCCACCACCATGCCCCAAGTTGAACAAAAAATGTGGCCTGGATAAATAATGAATTAATATTTGCTGTAAAATTCTTATCAATACTATAAGTGTAGCTACCAGTTTGGCTACCAATTTTGATTTCATTCCTTTAAGTGGCATGCTGAATCATTTTTTTTCACACCTTAGGTATTTTTGATTAGGTATGACAGTGAAAGTGCATGCTTTGAATGATCATTAATTCACAGTTTATAAACACATGACTGTGCTTACGTAGATATTAAAGTAGCGTAAGCCAAGTGAAGAATAACTAAGTGCAACGAGTGAAATCCTTAGTTTTAACTAAGTGCAACGAGTGAAATCCTTAGTTTTAAGTAAGTGTAATGGGTAAAGTCCTTAGTTTCAATTAAGTGTAATGGGTAAAGTCCTTAGTTTTAATTAAGTGTAATGGGTAAAGTTCTTAGTTTTAATTAAGTTGCAACGAGTGAAATCCTTAGTTTTAATTAAGTTGCAACGAGTGAAATCCTTAGTTTTAATTAAGTGTAATGGGTAAAGTCCTTAGTTTTAATTAAGTGAAATGGGTTAAGTTCTTAGTTTTAAGTAAGTGTAATGGGTAAAGTCCTTAGTTTCAATTAAGTGTAATGGGTAAAGTTCTTAGTTTTAATTAAGTTGCAACGAGTGAAATCCTTAGTTTTAATTAAGTGTAATGGGTAAAGTCCTTAGTTTCAATTAAGTGCAATTAGTGAAGTCCTTAGTTTTAATTAAGTGTAATGGGTAAAGTCCTTAGTTTTAATTAAGTGTAATAGGTAAGTAAAAAAAGAGAAAGTAGTGTTTCGACTAGATATTTTGTGACCGTTCTTTGTGAGTTAAGGTGTCTTATATTTTGTTTTCACAAACAGGTGCTCATGGCCGTTTTGTGGCACAGCAGGTGGCATCTCACAGTCGAGAAGCACGGATTCAGACTTTAGAACCAGATGTGTGGATGAAAGAAGTAGAATGTTATGGACATGGAACCAGAAAAATCGTAGTTCAGTTCCAGTTAGAAATGTGTGTGCACAGGTTTTATTCAAGTTCACCTAAACAAAATTTTTTTTTATGTCCTTGAGTTCCTAGTTTGAAATAGAATTAAACTGTTTATACAAAATACAGGTAAATATGAATGATCAAACACTTGATAGGGGAGATTTAATGCAAGAAAATATGCATATAGGACAGATTTCATTGTCAGTAATTGAAAAAAAATATATTTATAACTGATTGTAAGATTTACCATATTCTACTTCATGTCTCACAACTTTATAGATTTTTTTAAAAGTATTTTTTTTATTTATTTAAATTATAAAATACAAGCAATTGTTTGTAGTCCACGTGTAACAGAGCTTATAGTTTTACAAATACATTTACAGAAGATGTTTACAGTATAGAAACAAAGGAAAAATATCCCCATTTAAAATAGATTTTATAATTAGAAAATAATAAACATTTTTAAACTATAGTTTACATGATTGCTGTGTTGTTATTGTAGCTAAATATAGCTGTGACCAAAACCCAGTTCAGTAAATTAATTTCTATATCTTAAAAGTCCTAGAAAGAGTTAAATCCCAATTTTGTCCCCATTTTCTTGTAGTAATAATTCATGATTGTGTGGCAGCTAAGCATCGGTAGAATTATCGATGTACTGCTGTCTATGATGATGATGATGATGAT